TCATCATTAATTGGAATATTTTGTTTTTCTTTCGGAATGACAAAATCTTCCTCATCACTATCATTTTCAATTTCACTAGGTTTATCATGGACATCTAGATCATCATTGTGAAACTTTACAACTCTAATTTTCTTAATTGAACCAGTATTAGGAAAATATACTAAATAAGCAGGACTATCCCTGTCATACCCAACAAAAATACCTATATCTGACCTATCATCCAACTTCTTTGGATTTTGTATTAAGGCAAACCAAGTTTGACCAAATATGTGCACATTTTCCAAATCTGGTTTCTTATTAGTAACAGCCTCAAACGGAGTTATACATAATTTTTTATTATAACACCTATTTCTAATATAGGAGGATGCCATAACGGCATATGTCCACAAGGTTTTAGGGAGACTAGATTGCAAAAGTAAACACCTTGCCATTTCAAATAGTGTTCTCCACATGCGTTCAGCTTTCCCATTTTGATGTGGGCTAAAAGGGGCAGTTTTCTCATGTTTTATCTTATTCTCAATGAGTAGAGAGCTAAATTCTTTTGATATAAATTCTCCACCTTGATCACTTCTCACAGATTTAATTTTACCTACAGGTGCAATATCTGCAAGATATTTCTTAAAGGCATTTACAGAATCACTTTTCTGCTTAAGAAAACAAACAGAAGAAAGGTTAGAATAACTATCCACACAAACTAACGCATATTTAAAGTCGTCTCTAGCTACAGGATCAACAGGACCTTCTCGGGTAGCAGCACGGACGGAAAATATATTTTGGCTAAAAGATGGTACATATAAGGCGTTTGTAAGGGTTACCTCATGGGTTTTTCCCATGGCATCATGGAGTGTTACCATGGCATTACCTCGTCCTAATGCTACACCTTCAGCTGTAGTACCATTAGCTAATTCAATAACATGTTTCTCTGGAATGAAATTCTTCTGAAAACTTGTAAAATTGTCTTTACTAATTATAAATTGTCAGCTTTGCTATTTTTAAGAGTAGAGGATGCAACAACAAATGCAAAGCTGTGATTAAAATCGTCATCATTGTTCGTTTTCACACTTTTTAAGTCTGTCTTTTTCTTACGACAGGATTTAGTGAGATGTGTGTTAGACTTGCAAATCTCGCACCATCTTGTTTGACTTTTATTTCGACAATAAGATGTATCATGGGAGTTACTTCTACAAATTTCACACCAACGTTTTGTTGTTTAGGACGAATTTCTTCGGCAATAAGCTGTGTCATGTGTACTAGACTTACAGTTTTCACACCATCTTGACTTATTGTTAGATCTGTTTTGGCCTTGTCTTAAATTCATGATTGATGTGCCGGTACATGACTGTGCATTGATTTTCTCTGTATCTTCGAAGTTTCTTAAGGCCACTTTGAACTCTGAGAGTGTTATAGCTATGCTTCTTTGGGTAATCACAGTCGTAAAGGCTTGGTAAGTACTTGGTAGAACTTTCATTGTCATAGCTACAAGTAAACTGTCACTTATAGTTTCTCCTCCATTTCGCAGTGCTGAAGCAGCAGATTCCGCTCTAATAATATAATCTGTAACAGTTTCAGAATCTTGCTTGACTAATGAGGTCAATTCAGTGTACAGGGTTATTATTCTAGGTTTGCCTGTGGGTAGATAATGATGGCGTAATATTCTAAGTGCTTTTCTACCATTATCTCGGGCCTCACGGATAATTAATGAAAGGGAACGATCATCTAGTACCTGCACAAGTTCAGCAAATGCTTCTTCATTTTGATTATTGTCTATCACCCTGGTATTATCTTCAAGGGACGAGAATACTTTCTGGAGATTTCTGACTCGCATACCTCCGAGAAATTTGACTTCCCACAACTCATATTTTCGTTCATCACCGTCAAACACTGGAATTCTGCTCCTGGACCCATAACCTGTTGGATTCTGTGTTGGTGGTGGATGTTCTGCCATTATATTATTGGCGATTGATGGGGATTAAACATAAAAATAAAGACAGGAAAAACATCTGTCACTTTTAATGAAGGAAAAAGAAAACATTACAGGAAGTTGTAACAGTTAGCTCCCTTTGAGCAAGTTCGTACCACATTATATTTGAAGAAGATTAAACGTAACCAATATTAAAGATGAGTTTACTACCCAACAGGCAGGTTTTGTAATGGGTCGGTCGGGTTACCGGAAACATAACATTTTTTTTTTTTGGCCTAAGCATAAAGTGACAAAATATAATATGAAAATTTATTGACATGTACAGTACATTTAAGTAAAACATTTTTAAAATATGTAATATTTAAAAACCGCTTACAAAAATACATGTATACAGGTGTAGGCCTACTCATAAAACAAATCACATGATTTCATTATTTCATCATTACTATTAAAATCAATGTCACTGTCAGCATATGTTTGGCTGTCACTTTTATATTCAAACAATATAAACAAATCCATACTAGAAAGTTTTCACTTGTAACAAGTACATGCAGCTTGATTTACATTCACATTGAAAAATTTTGACTGGGGATGCAAGGGCCGCAGCGACATTTTCAGCCAGGAGAATCATGCAGAAATAATTCATAGGCCTACATATTTTTCTCAAAAAAGAAAGTGCACTGTGCACTTGTACGAACTCATCTATTTCGGTTCTATTTGGGTATGAGTACTGCACAATGTAGGCCTATTTCACCTCAATGGTGACACAGTTTTTAGTGGTACTCTGTCTTTGACCGAGTGGACTTCTATTGGTCTGAGTGGTCTTGGGCCGAGTAGTCCTTGGTCTGGGTTGTCATGCATTTTAGGAGAATGAATATCTTCATCAGCTTGCATTTGCGAGAAAATGTTAAGATATGATCCCCTTAACAAATTAACCAGACCTAAACATCACTTTCTTCAACAATTTTGGAATCGTGATAATATTTAACACAGTTTTGTTTACGTTGGTAACGTGGAATGTGAGAAGTCTGTATTTAGTAGCTGAGGCCTATACCCCAGTGAGAGTTTTGTCTGCACATTCCAGGAGTTCTTCTGTCCAGCAAATCAGCATTTGTCTCCGGCACAAGACTGCCATTTCCATCTAATTTGATCCACTGGTTAGCACATACCTTAAATTCTTCCCAGCTTGTCGCAGGGAACGGTTTTAGCTCAGTGTTTTTAACAAAATAAGTATGCAGTTTTAGCTATCCTTCCGCCATGTACCGTTACTGACAAAACGTAAACAAAGTGCAGGTGACCTTTCACCACACGACCTGTTGAACTTTTACTTTACGTCGTGTGTTCTGATTGGCGAGCTATGTCATGTGATCTGTTAAAACCAAATCACCGCGAAATTCAAATACCATCGCACATTGATAAGTAAGGCCGTATTTATTTTACGTTTTCTGCCAAACGTCAAAGATTGGATAACAGAAAAGTTGTTTGGCAATACAAAGTCATACTAGAAGAATTAGATGATGTACTTTTTTTTTCACCCGAAACTTGCTGGTACGGAAAAACAGAGCAGACTAGCTAGACCCCATAGAGGTCATAATTTTTATCCGATTTAAAAAAACGCATTATTTTATCACCGTTACACCATAAGGACGGCTGAATTTGAATTTCGTGAAAATCGGCCCAAAACTGACAGACAAAATGGACACCCTTTGTTCTTAAATAGCATAAAAATATGGTATATCAAGGGTGTGGACCCCATAGAGGTCACAATTTTTATCTGATTTTGTTGAAACTTGAAATGTAAGTTTATAACCCAAAGATCTCGGTTCCTTTCAATATTCGCGCATATTGGACTGTAACTTCCTGAATTATGGCCCCTGATTGTGCGAAAAATCATGTTTTTAGCTTGTGGACCCTATAGAGGTCATAATTTTTATCCAATTTAAAAAATGTATTATTATATCACCGTCTCTGTCTGTCCGTCACACTTTCTGGGACACAATAACTCTCTTTCTAATTGAGCTAGAATGTTGAAACTTAGTGTAGGTGTTTATTAGGTCAGTGCCTTGATGGAGTTCGAAGATGAGCATTTTCTGCTTAGGGTAAGCAGAGAAAAGCAATTTGATTGGTTGATGCTTTGGGATACGATAACTTTAGTTCTAATTAAGTGAGAGTGATGAAACTTTGTGTATAGTTTCATTACATCAATACCTTGACTAAGGTTGATAATGAGCATTTTCTGTTCAGGGTAAGCAGAGCGATAAGCAATTTGATTGGTCAAGATGTTGGAACACAATAACTCTCATTCTAATTGAGCTAGAATGTTCAGACTTGGTGTAGGTGTTTATTAGGTCAATACCTTGATGGAGTGCGAAGATCACCATTTTCTGCTTAGGGTAAGCATTAGGTGAATGCCTTGATGGAGTTCGATGATTAACATTGTATGTTTACTGTAAGCAGAGATAAGCAATCTGATTGGTTGATGCTTTGGGGCATGATAACTTTTGTTATAATGAAGTGAGAGCAATTCTCACCATCGAATTTTCTGCTTAGGCTAAGGAGCGATAAGCAATTTGATTGGTCAAGACTTTGGAACATAACAACTTTCCTTTTATTGAGGCAGAATGTTTAAACTTGATGTAGATGTTTATTAGGTGAATGCCTGGACTGAGTTCAATGATTAACATTTCGAGCTGAAGCTAAGCAGTCCTAATCAATTTCATTGATCGATGCTTTTGGACAAGATAATCTTGATTCTATTTGATATAGAGTGCGAAACTTAGTGTATAGTTTGATTGCTCGATACTTTTGAAAAATATAAATTTGCTATTAATTAATATGTGTCATCTATTTATTTTGGGATTTCGGCAGTGGACATCAGCCTCACTGTTGGCATGTCTAGCTTGCGTAGGACATGTCTGCATCCTTGATGTCAATTTAAAGAACTATGTTTAAATGAAATTTGTTTACAAAGGTGAATAAATTAACATCATCTGATATCATAATGGTGCCCTCCTGGGATAATTCTTTCATATTTGGATTTCTCCTAATAGCCTTGAAATGTTTCTGTATTTTTCTTCAGTCTAAAAAAAGATCCAAAGAAGATTTAGACGAAGATAAGAAAGATATATTCTGTTCCGTCCGATGTAGAACACCCTTGAAATCTGAATCTGAGATGAAAGACCCAGCGCATATACCAAGTAGTAATTCTGCTTGCACGCAGGTCACTTTATTAAATCATGATATCAGTGAAGGCGATCTAGCAGGCCTGGATGTTGTTAAAGTAGCAAATGGCAATGGTGATTCTTCTATAAATAATCATGTTAGTATCTTTTAAATCTGTTCATGAAATATTTTGATTTGAATTGATTTAATTTTTATATGCCCACATTGAAATGTGGTTGTATATTGTCGTCAACCCTGTCCGTCCGTCGTCAACAAATTCCGGTGGATGTTCTTAATTGATACACAGTGTTATGGACATGAGATAAATAATCCTATTAATTTCCAATGTTTTCGAATAATTACTGCTAAAGTAATGGCTCTAGATCACTTTCAAAATTCTTGTGGACATTCTCGATCACTTTCAAAATTCTTGTGGACACTCTCGGAACTAAAATTATCACACGATTGAGTTTAAATTAATACAGTGTTTAAGGTCAAGAGACAAAAAATTGTATTCATTTTCAACCATTTCCAATTATTATTGCCAGAGTTATTGCCCTTGACTTTCAAAATTCTTGTGGACACTCTCGAGACCACACACTCAGAATTGGGAAAGGTGTGATCAGAACGTTTACAGTATACATAATTCTAGCTTGAGAGTTGATTATGGTTTTGTTTTGTTAATTAATGTCTAATCAATAGTTTATGTAACATTTCAGGCCTAAAGAAATACCTACATTAGGCAGATTTAGCTTTTGCATAATGTATGTTTAACACTGCGGGTGAAAAACTGTGCGACAGTGCGTTTTCTGTAGAGAGTGTGCTAATAAAGACTGGTTGAAAATGAATGACACCGTGTGTAATTCTTTGATTGGTCTGTTTTCTCCACCAAAAGGGTTTCATCAATGACCAAATGGTTTTATCTGATGCTAGGATGTCAAATCTAAACACGGATAGGAAAACTATTTTTACTGTTTGATTTCTCATTCGATCATGCGTTTTGCACGTCGGACCGTAACTTCCTGAATTATGGCCTCTGATTGTACGAAAAATCGCATTTTTAGCTTGTGGACCCTATAGAGGTCATAATTTTTATCCGATTTAAAAAAAATGTTTGAATATATCACCGTTACATCCTAAGGATGGTTGAGTTCGAATGTCACAAAAATCGGACCAAAACTGGCAGAACCAAAGATCTTGGTTCCTTTCGATACTCACACACATCGGACCGTAACTTCCTGAATTATGGACCCTGATTGTACGAAAAATCGCGTTTTTAGTTTCACTTTCCTCTAGAGGTCAGAATTATTATCCGATTTATAAAAACGTTCAAATATACTATTCAAAAAAAGTAGGGGATATTTGATTTTGGGGGCATAATACCAAAATATGCAAATGACTACGAAAAAAGTCACTATAGAACCTAACAGAAGAAACATTTCCAGTTACATGTGACGCCCAAACGCACCAATAGCTACCGCATGGAATGCAGGTGATGCTTGGGATCATCATGGGGGTACAACCCAAGATTTGCACGACTCTGACTTTGAATGTTACAGTCATTGTGGCATTGAATTCCAGGGTGGAAACATCAGTTTAATTGTTTTAGTGACCAGAAAACAAATTTTGATATGCGTCGGCTTACCCAAAATGAAAGGTTACGTGCCCTTGGCATGCTACAGATCGGCACAACACAGGCGGTTGTGGCGCGGACGATGAATGTTTCTCAGTCTGTCATAAGCAGGCTATGGTCCAGATACCGTGATACACAATCTGTACAGGACAGACCACGCTCAGGTCGACCAAGGGCGACAACTCAAGCCCAGGATCGATTTATCCGTACCTTGGCCTTGAGAAATCGTGTCATCACAGCAAATCAGATCAGCGCATGTCTTCAAACAGACACTGGTGTGAGAGTGAGTGGCCAGACGATTCGGAATCGACTGCATAGGGGTCACCTTCGCGCCCGACGTCCTCGCGTGATCCCTTGTTTGAGAGATCATCACATTCAGGCAAGACGTCGTTGGTGTAGGGATCGTCAACACTGGGATAATCGACGCTGGAGCAATGTGATGTTTCAGATGAGTCAAGGTTCACTGTTGATTTTTTGGACAGACGTAGGAGGGTGTGGCGTCGTCGAAACGAGCGCTTCCGAGACGTTAACGTCATCAGACATGATCGATTTGGGGGTGGTTCTGTTATGGTGTGGGGAGGCATCACTGTTGCTGGAAGAACGGCTTTACATGTTGTTGCAGGGCGTGTTACAGGCCAGTACTACCGGGACAACATCTTGGCAGTCCATGTTGTGCCGTTCGCACGACGTCATGGCCGCCGTTTCATCTTCCAGGATGACAACGCAAGATGTCACAGGGCCAGGATCGTTACAGGTTACCTCCAACAACAGAACATCACCACATTACCTTGGCCAGCACTGAGTCCCGACCTCTCCCCCATCGAGCATGTCTGGGACATGCTTGGACAGAGGTTACGTCAACGTCAACAACGTCATGCCAATGTCCAAGAACTTGCTGCTGCGTTGCAACAGGAATGGGACAATCTGGACCAAAATGACCTTAGACGTCTCATTAGGAGTATGCCACGTCGGATCAATGCTTGTTTGGCAAACAGAGGAGGATTTACCCGTTACTGACTTGGTTGTGATGCTGTGGTAACTTTGCTGTTTGACCCCGGGTATCATTTTACCCTTATAATGGTCAGTCTGTGCCTTACTTAGTCTAACGATCATTTGGAATAAATCGATGAATGTGAACTTCATTTCATTTTGTCATTTGTTTCTTCGTCAGTTTCATTAGGTGACTTTAATAACACTTAAAAATCAAATATCCCCTACTTTTTTTGAATAGTATATATCGCCGTTACACCGTAATTTTGGCTGAGTTCAAATTTCGTGAAAATCGGACAAAAACTGCTGGACAAAATGGCCGCCCCCCATACGCAAATTGTGTATAACAGAGTATATCAATGTTGTGGACCTTCTAGAGGGGCACAATTTTGATCTGATTGTGATGAAACTTGAAATACATGTTTATAACCCAAAGATATTGTTTCCTTTCGATATTAGTGCATATCAGATCATAACTTCCTGAATTACGTGTATCCTGCCTGGCAGCCGCTGGTTATCTGATTTTGTTGAAATTTGAAATGTAACTTGGTTCCTTTCAATATTCGTGCATATTGGACCGTAACTTCCTGAATTATGACCCCTGATTGTATGAAAAATCAAATTTTTAACTTGAGGTCCCTCTAGATGTCACAATTATTATTTAATTTAAAAAAACGTTCAAATATATCACTGATACACGGTAATTTTGGTTGAGTTCGAATTTTATGAAACTCGGACCAAAACTGCCGGACAAAATAGCCTAAAAATATGGTATATGAATGTTGTGGATCCTCTAGAGATCACAATTTTCTTCTGATTTTGATGAAACTTGAAATGTTAGTTTATAACCCAAAGATCTAAGTTCCTTTCAATATTAGCGCATATCGGACCGTAACTTCCTGAATTATGGCCCCTGATTGTACGAAAAATCATGTTTTTAGCTTGTGAACACAATAGCGTAAAAATATGGTATATCAAGGTTAAGGACCCTCTAGAGGTCACAATTTTCTTCTGATTTTAATGAAATTTGAAATGTAAGTTTATAACCCAAAGATCTCGGTCCCTTTCGATTTTTCGCGCATATCGGACCGTAACTTCCTCAATTATGGCCTCTGATTGTACGAAAAATCGCATTTTTAGCTCGTGGACCCTATAGATGTCATAATTTTTTAACTGATTTAAAAAAATGTTTGAATATATCACCGTTACATCCTAAGGATGGTTGAGTTCGAATTTCATAAAAATCGGACCAAAACTGACAGACAGATGGCCGTCCCTCGTACTCAAATAGCGTAAAAAATATAGTATATCAATGTTATGGACCCTCTAGAGGTCACAATTTTCTTCTGATTTTGATGAAACTTGAAATGTAAGTTTATAACCCAAAGATCATGGTTCCTTTTGATATTCGCACATATCGGACCGTAACTTCCTGAATTATGGCCCCTGATTATACTAAAAATCACGTTTTTAGCTTCACGTCCCTCTAGAGGTCAGAATTATTATCCGTTTTATAAAAACGTTCAAATATATCACCATTACACCGTTATTATGGCCAAGTTCGAATTTCGTGCCAGACAAAATGGCCGTCCCTCGTACGCAAATTGTGTATAACATCTGGTATATCAAAGTTGTGGACCTTCTAGAGGTCACAATTTTGATCTGATTTTGATGAAACTTGAAATACACATTTATAACCCAAAGATATTTGTTCCTTTGGATATTAGCACATATCGGATCATAATTCCCTGAATTAGATGTATGGCCCCTGTTTGGACGAAAAATCTCGTTTTTAGCTTGTGATCCCTCTAGAGGTCACAATTATTACCCGATTTAAAAAAACGTTTGAATATATCACCGTTACACCATAATTTTGATTGAGTTCGGATTTTAAAAACCATTTAATATATCACCGTTCCACCATAATTAGTGTAGATTTCGAATTTCAGGAAAATCGAAATGAAACTGCCCGACAAAAAGTCTGCTCTTTGTACGCAAATTGTGTAAAAGTATGCAATATGAAGGTTGTGGACCCTCTAGAGGTCACAATTTTTATTAGATTTTGATGAAACTTAAAACATATCTTTATATCCCAAAGATCTCAGTCCCTTTTGATATTTGCGCATTTCAGACTATAACTTTCTGGATTATTACCCCTGATTGTACAAAACATCCCGTTTGTTTTTAGCTTGTTCTCTATCCGTCTCTTGCAAAATGTGGGCGTATACTGCCTGGCATCAATATTTGCATCGGTAAATTTGTCCGTCGCTGAATCTTGCGCCTAACGAAAATTCTTTACTCAAATCTCGGACATAACTTCTGTAAACTTGTCATTTTGTACCAACCTTCGATACTACTGTCTACCATTGTGATGCATTCGATATTATTTATCCATTTTTGTGAAGAAAATCAATGAATTAATTTTATTTTATCAAAAAAGCATGTGAACAAAAAACTGTCGCTGATTTTATCACCTATTTACAGGGGGTGTAACTCTGTATGTAATATTATAGGAAGCGCTAAAACGTATGTTT